AGAAGAAGAAATTCCACTAACTTATACAAACCGAACGTTTTTTTTCTCCAATCCTCCTTTTACTGTTGAGTCCCATTTATTTTCTTTTGTTTCAAATTGAATACCAATCACACCTAAAGACATCACAATGACAATGATATTTCTTGATGTATAACCCATAAATATACAAGGAATATACAAAAACTACATGAAGTCATGACAATGGCCAAAGTAAAGGAAATATAAACCTAATCAATGGATGATGTCCATGTGTGATGAAAACAAACAAATGAGGTCATCTTCATTAAGTTTTCTAAACCATTATGACCGTACACAACATACAAAAAGTAATCAAGATTTATTTATGATGCCAATCCTCAAAATAAAAACGTCACTAAGAGGGTTTTGAGTACAAGTTCAAAATGCTTTATGGTATTCCCATAAGGAAATACCAAATATAAAAGTACAATCACTACTCAGAAACGACAAAGTGGATAAAAGTGATATCTCCGAAGTCCGTGAAAGCTTCAGGAAAAACAGATACTCCTATGCACAACTTATACTTGTGCACCTCAAGCTCTTGTTGGAATCATTCCCTAGACATCGACATCAATTGGTTAGTGACACAATCGACTTGATTCTTCAAAAAATAAATCTCTGCTTCGTTAGCAACAATAACAGAAATTGTGACATTTGATTTCCACTTTCCCATCTCTCTTCAGAAGGTTGTTAGCCTCTCGAAGAAAGATGCTTTCTCTTTACAACCATCGAGTTCTGTCGTGACATGATGGCATATGAACATCACATATACACAAGATAAGACATTGTTTTATTTATTGTTCGGCAAAAAAACTCTACCGAAATATAGCTGATTATGCATTTCATTGTACGATATAGGTCTGGTTTGGATTGTAAACCTTAAACCCTTTGGTTTTTCCTTTTCAAAAGGCAATATTTTTTTCTTTTCAAAAAATGAATTAGTTGAGAAGAAAAACTAATCGTACGTTTGTGAAATTTACATTGTGCCATGATTATTATGTGTTGAACCTATAATTAAATTTATTATAATGCGCAAAAATATCATAAACATGTAATGTGGATTCCGAAAATATCATAACCATGATATTAAATTGTAAAGTTTACAAGAGAAATTTTAAAAACTAAAAAAATGAATATGTGCTCGAGTTTTTTTTTTAATCCCAAGAAGTTCTCTACTTTTTTTAACGCTAAACAAGAATTGCATAAATTGACCAATGTTTACATCATCGAAAAAAGAGAGGAATCAAGCCCAATCAAAAGCCTACAAAGAGAGAAAGACAATCAGACCGAGGATAGCCTTTCAGCCTCTTCGAGAAAAAGGGACCTAAGCCAAGCAGGCGGACCCGAGGCTCGAGTTATATTGGAACAAACTTGACAGAAACCATATTGAATAACTTAGAATCATTCTTCTAGGTGTGATTGGTGTGAGTAG